TGGCAGATATCATCTTAATAAAGTAACTTAAATGATCATCATTAGTAATGGAACAAGTTGAAAACATGTGCCAACTTACAGGCTGAAAAGAACACAGCATCATTTCTGTGATATTCCTGCAAAGATACATCACCTGTATCCAGTCATGAAGAAACATCGGAGAAACTCAAACTGAGGGACATTTTAGAAAATAGCTGGACTTTAATATTTAAAAGTATCAAAGTCATAGAAGTCAAGGAAATATTGAGAAACTATTCAAAATGAAGGAGACTGAAGACACATGGTAACAAAATGAAAAGCATGATTCTGAGCTGTATCCTTTCACTATAAAGATGCTGTTGGGGTCACTGGAGAAACTTGAGTGGAGTCTGGTTAGTAATGATAGTAGATAATGATTGTATTGTGATTATGAAGGAAACCATCTGTGTGGAAAATACACACTGAAATATTCAAGGCATAGGGCATCGGGTAAGCAACTTACTCTCAGATAGCTCAGGGGAAAAAGTTCTTTGTATGGCATTTCCAACAGTTATATTTTTTTAAGTTTGTTTTTTTAAAAAAAAAAATGGTTGCTATTAATATGTACAAAGTAGAAGTACAGTACCTAAAACACAGTAGGTGCTCAAAAATGTTAATTCCTCTCAAAAGTGCTAATTTTCCTTTTGTTGCATCTACCATGTGCAATGCTTGCCAAGTCTGTGCTCCCCACTCTCAGAACTGCCTCTCCCATCTATAGGAGCAGGTTCCTATAATCCTATTTGAACTATGTGACCCTGACACAAAGATAAAGGTAGATACCACCCTCAAGCTGAGTCAACACAATTCTTTCTTCTAGGAATTTAAAATTGAAAATCAGATGCTAATTAGTTTCTATTACCTACCTCGAACCTGGGGGACATGTACATTCGATGTAAATTTAAGCCACATCTGATAATTTAGGGGTAGTTTTCTTCTGCAGTAAGAACGGGATAGAAAAATCTGGTCTGCAGAGATGGAATATAAAGCAGATAAGGAGAGAGAAGCAGAGAGATAAGAGAAAAGGCCCAAGAAAGAGAAACTGAGAGCACCAGCCTTAGTTTGTTACAGCATTCTGACTCTAGCACCTCGTGAAGCCTCACTTCCCTTAAGACACTCCAGCATCCTAATAAATTCCCTCCTTTTGCTTACGCCAGCTGGAGTGGATTTCTGTCAGTTGTAGCCAAAAGTCCATGGCATCTCCTTCTCCACCTTGTGGTAACCTTTACAGCAATCCTGCTCTTCCACAAAAATGGAAGGAGTCCAAGGCTGGACTCTTCGGCCACCGATATGACCCAGTATAGCACTTCATAAGGCCTCCAGGGGATCTCAAGTCAGTTCCACTTACCAAGGCTAGCCTCAGCCAACAGCAGGTAAGCAGGCACAAGCTCTACTGAACTCAGGCCGTGCACATTCATGCGGAAGCGAAGAGAATGCAAAGCTGCTGGGACAGCATCTTCATGTTTTCCTTCAAAGAGATATTTCTGGGCTACGGTGTAGCAGAATTCAATCAAATGCTTCTGTGGAAGAAAAAACTAGATCATCTGAGAAAGCCTAAAGGTAAAAGGCAATGGTGAATGGAGGTACACCTAGAGATAAGGCAAACACCTAGTAAACTGGTTGAGGGCACAAACAGTTTAGGGTACAACCAGTTTAATACAGCGAACCTGCCTGTATTAAGGTGGACGTGCGACCCAAAATCGGTGATATAAAAGGCAAACTTGGACTGTGAGTTCATCAACGCCCAGGAACAAGTGTCTTTTCATCTTACGTAGTGTTTGGCATAAATGAGTGCTCCATATAAAATTATTAAATAAATATTATTCTTATATTTATAATAACATTTTAGTTGAGAAAGCTGTCATGCCTCAGGACAATCGAAAACTTTCTGCCTTTCTGTTTGAGTTAATTTTGAGATAAATATCTTATTTTTCCTTCTGGAGTTATCCTGCTTAGCTAATATCAGAAACAACTTTAACTCTGTATTGTTCTAAGGTCACTCTCAAAGTGTCACAACATTAAAATGGATGAATCTGGTGTTTTGAGATTTATGGTTTATAAAGCACGATTTTTTTAGAATGATCAAGATGCTATCAATGCCATGATAATAGTTCTCCTAAACTCTTTAATTTACTCACTAGTGTATTCATACATCCTACTATGTGCCTAGGCTTTTCTTACAGTATGGGTTTTATGGCTGAATTTTGTACCCCCCAAAAATTCGTATGTTGAATCACTAACCCCTAGTACTTCAGAATGTAACTACATTTAGAGACAGAGCCTTTAAATAAGTGTTTAAGTTTAAAATGAGGCCATTAAGATGGCCCTAATCCAATCGAACTGGTGTCCTTATAAGAAGAAATTTGGACACACAAAGAGATACCAGGGATGTGTGTACACAGAGGAAAGACCATGCAAGGACACAGCAAGAAGACCGCCATCTGTAAGCCAAGGAGAGAGGCCTCAGAAGAAACCAAACCTATGGATATCTATCATTGATCTTGGACTTCTAGCCTCCAGAACTGTGAGAAAATAAAGTTCTGTTATTTAAACCCCCTCCCTCTCTATTTATGGTATTTTGTTATAGCAGCCCAAGGAACGAATATAGGAGGTAGTCGGTAACCATGTGGAAAACAAGCAACCGAATGGTTTTGAGGACATAAAGACACAAAACGAAGTCTCTGCTCTCACAGAGGTTAGAGTTTAGTGATCTCAACTCAGTACACCCTTTCTCCTGGACAGTTTTGCTACGCCCGTGAATTAACCCTGTAACCATCCGATAGGCCCTACCTGCCGCTGCTGCAGCTGGTGGAGGCCATGCTGACGTTCTTCCTCTGAATTGTAGAAGGGCATAGAAGTGCGCAGCGGAATCAGGAGCTGACAGATCTTCTCATGGATGCTTCTCCAGTCGGCTCTTTGATGAACCACACCACTGAAAATAAAAACACGGACTTCATCATCTTTACTTTGTCCTGATTTAAGATTCTCTTGGCCCTACTCCTGGCCTAGCCCTAGAAACTAGAAAAATAAGCCCAACACAAACCAGGCAGGGAGTCCAAAGCCGTTTCAAATGTTTTTTTCATGCGGTTATTTGATGGTGGAAAAACTATGTTGGGGTGGAGAGGGGTGATAGAAGATGTCCTTTCTGCAGGCACGGGTTCACATTCCGAAGTGACATGGTGATGTTGTGGCTATTCTGCCTTTGTGCTTCATTAATAACAACAAAAACAGCTTTAACTCTGCATTGTTCTAAGGTCATTTTCAAAACATCTAAACTCTGAAGCTAAGGAATTTGAGGGTTTTTTCCCTTGGGTTAGGAAAAGGTATTTACATTTGCTGAGGCTCTAAGAGACCTTTCCTATAATCAGTGCCACCATGTTGCCTGGTTCTGAAGAGCACCACTTGCATTGTCTTCTGCCTTATGCTCCAGGAGTGCCTTTCACATAGAACACACTGTGAATGACCCCGCAAGCCCAGTGCTGCAGCAGGTGGTCTTGCATGTAACTAATTAACTTTTTAAAAACTAAATAAAATCTGTTATTACCATTTTAAAGGTAAAGAAGCAAAGCTGTGGAGAGACTGAGTATTTACTCTAAGCCTGTACTCCAAAGCCATTTGTTTTTTTTTTTTAGCTCTGCAGGGGAAGCACTGTGACAGTTTGGTATACAGCTTTTCTGACTGTTTTACATGCATATTTAGTATTTTTAAACACTCAAAATTAGACAGCACAGATGTAGAACATTTGCTTCATTTCAGAAAAATTCTATTGGGCAGCACTCCTACAGAGTATTCACTCCCATTCCTTAAATAATTGCCTCTATGAATGACTCTCAAATCTAATCCTTCCTCCAATTATGGTGCGGTTTTTTTCCTTTTTGATATATAATTCACATACCATAAAATTCCCCATATAAAAATGAACAATTCAGTAGTCATTTAAATATACTCACAAGGTTGTATAACCATGACCCTATTTATTTCCAGGACATTTTCATTACCCAAAAAAGAAACTCCATTCACTCTAGCAGTCACTCACATTCTTGCTTCCACCCATTGATTCCCAGATCCACTAATTTACTTTCTCTATGTATTTGCCTATTCTACATTGCATATAAATGGAAACACAATATGTGGCCTTTTGTGTCTAGCTTCTTTCACTTAGCATGCTTTCAAAGTTCATCTGTGTTGTAGCATGTATCAATGTTATTCCTTTTTATGGCTGAGTAACATTTCACTATATAGATGTATTGCTTTTTGTTTATCCACTCATCGGTTGAACTTTTGGGTTGTTTCCACTTTTTGGCTATTATGAATAATGCTGCTATGAACATTTATATACAAGTATTTGTGTGGATGTTTTAATTTCTCTTGGGGTATAGACCTAAGAATAGAATTGCTGTGTCACATAGTAACTCTGTGCTTAACTTTTTGAGGACTACCAAACTGTTTTCCACAGAAGCTGTATCATTTTACATTCCCAATGTACGAGGGTTCTATTTTCTCTACATCCTCATCAACGCTTGTTATTTTCTATATTTTTGATTATAGCCATTCTAGTGTGTGTGCTGTATTTCATTGTGGTTTTAGTTTTCATTTCTCTAATGACTAATGATGTTGAGCATTTTTTCAGGTGCTAACTGACCATTCATATATCGTCTTTGTAAGAATGTTTATTCAAATCCTTTGTCTATTTTTTAACAGAGTCTTTTGACTTCTTATTGATGAGTTTTAAAAGTTCTTTACATATTGTAGATTCTAGATCCTTATGATTTGCAGATGTTTCCTCTCTTTCTCTGGGCTGTCTTTTCCTTTCCATCTTAGTGTTTTCTGATGCACAAAAAATTTAATTTTGATGGTGCCCAACTTATCTTTCTTTGGTTCCTTGTGCTGTTGGTGTCATATCTAAGAAATGCTGCCTAATCCAAGATCACACAGATTTACAACTATGTTTCCTTCTAAAAGTTTTACATTTTTAGCTCTTACATTTAGGTCTTTCTTGTATATGGAGTAAGGTAGGAGTCCGAATTCATTCTTTTGCATGTAGATACCCAGTTATGCCAGCACAATTTGGAAGGGACCATTCTTTTCTCAAATGAGTGGTCTTCATAACCTGTTGAAAATCATTTCACCATAGATGAATGCGCTTATTTCTGGACTTTCAATTCTATTCCACTGATCTGCATGTCTATCCTTAAGGTAATACCATGCTGTCTTCATTACCATAGCTTTGTAGTAAATTTTAAAATTGAGAAATGAGTCCTCCAATTTTGTTCTCTTTCAAAATTGTTTTGGCTCCTCTGGGTCCCCTGCATTTTCATATGAATTTTAGGATCAGTGTGCAAAAATCTTTGATAAAGATTGCATCAAATCTGTAGATCAGTTTGGGGAGTGCTGCTACTTTAATAATATTGTCTTCCAATATGAGTAGGGAATACCTTTCCATTTATTTAGGTCTTTTTGATTTCTTTCAACCATATTTTGTAGTTTTCAGTGTATAAGTCTTGTACTCCTTCGGTTAAATTGATTGATTGATTGATTGATTGATTGATACTCTTATAAATGGAATGGTTTTCTTAATTTCATTTTCAGATCGTTCATTGCTAGCAAATAAATACAACAGATTTTTGCATATTCATCTTGTATCCTGTAACCTTGCCGTATTCGTTTATTAGCTCTAATAGTTTTGTGTGTGTGTGTGGGGGGGTGTTCTATAGGGTTTTCACTATATAAGATTATGTCATCTGCAAATAGAGGTATTTTCGCTCCTTCACTTCCAAGTTGGATGTTTTTTATTTGTCTCATCTAATTGCCTCAACTAGAATCTCCAGTATGATATTGAATAGAAGTGGTGAAAGCAACATTCTCATCTCATTCCTGATTTTAGAGGGGAAAGCTTTTAGTCTTTGACCATTAAAGTATGATGTTAGCTTTGTGTTTCTCTATGGATTTTTCATAGATGCCCTTTACCAAGTTATGAAAGTACCTTTCTATTCCTAGTTTGTTAAATGTTTTTATCATAAAGTGTGTTGAATTTCGTCAAATGCTTTTTCTGCATCTATTGAGGTGATCATGTGGATTTTGTCCTTTATTCTATTAAGATGATGTTTTATATTGATTGCTATTTGTATGTTGAACCATTCCGGAAAGAAATTCCAGTTGGACATGATTTATAATCCTTGTTATATGGTGCTAGATTTGGTTTGCTAGTATTTTATTCAGGATTTTTGCATAATTATTCACAGGGATATTAGTCTGTAGTTTTCTTGTGATTTGTCTGGTTTTGGTATCAGGGCAATGCTGGTCTCATAAAATGAATTGGGAATGATTCCTTCCTCTTCTTTTTTTTTTAAAAAGGAAGAATTTGTGAAGAATTGTTAATTTGTCTTTAAACATCTGATAAAATTTACCAGTGAAGTCATCTAGTCCTGAGCTTTGCTTTCCAGGAAGTTTTTTGGTTACTAGCTAAATCTCTTTACTTGTTATAGATGTATTCAGATAGCCTATTACTTCATAAGTCAGTTTTAGTAGTTTGTGTCTTTTTAGGAATATCTTTAAGTTATCTAATTTGTTGGCATATAATTGTGTGTAGTATTCTCTTATAATCTTATTTCTGCAAAGTGGGTAGCAATGTCCCCACTTTCATTTCTAATTTTAGTAATTTGAGCCTTCTTTCTTTTCTTGGACATGTCCGTCTAGCTAAAAGTTTGTCAATTTTGTTGATCTTTTTAAAGGACCAACTTTTGGTTTTGTTGATTTCACTTTTCCTATTTTCCATTTATTTATTTCTGCTCTTAGCTTTACTATTTCCCTCATTCTGCGAGCTTTAGGTTCAATTTGCTCTTCTTTTTTTAGTTCCTTAAGGTAGAAGTCTAGGTTATTGGTTTGAGGTATTTCTTCTTTTTTAATGCATGTTTACAGTTATAAATTTCCCTATGAGTACTACTTTCACTGCATCCCGTAAGTTTTAGTATGTTGTGTTTTTTCACTTCATCTCAAAACATTTTCTAACTTCTCTTGTGATTTCTTCTTTAACCCATTGGTTGTTTAAAGGTGTATTCTTTCCACACTTTTGTAAATTTCCAAATTTCCTTCTGTTTTCAATTACTACTTTCATTCCACTGTGGTTGGAGAACATACTTTGTATAATTTCAATCCTTATAAATTTAAGACTTGCTTTTATGCTCTAACATATGGTCTATCTTGGAGAATATTTCATATGAACTTGAGAAGAATGTATATTCTGCTGTTGTTGGACAGTGTTCTATAGATATGTTAGGTCTAGTTACTTTATAGTGTTCTGATCTTCTCTCTAGTTTTTCTATTCATTATTGAAAATGGGATACTGAATTGTCCAACTATTATTACTGAATTATTTATTTTTCCCTTCAATTCTGAGAGTTACTGTTTCGTGTATTTTTTCCACATTCACCTTTTTAAAAATATCGAGGTATAATTGACATATGACTGCTTCATGTATTTTAAACCTGTTGATGGATGCATATAATCATGAGTTTTTGCATTTCTATTGCCTATTACACATTTTTACTTAAAATGTCAGGAAGTTAATGTTTGGCTCCATTTATACATATTTCAAAACAAGTCACAATAATCTAGGGCAGGGATCAGCAAAGTTTTCAGTAAATGGCCAGACAGAAAATATTTTAGGTTTTGAGAAATATATGGTCTCTGGTGCAACTACTCAGCTCTGATGTTGTAGCTCAGAAGCAATCATAGACAATAATACATAGCACTCTCTCTCTCTTTTTCTTGCTGCTGGGATGACAAATGCAATAATAAAGTATTTTATTTATAAACTGAGACCGCTATCATAGAAATTACACAATGCATTTTTAAGGTTTTTTGGGGTTTTTTTTATAGACAATTATTGTAAACGAATCAATAACAGCACTTAACAGTCAGGTTATGGAAATACTGGCATTCCACAGGGTATTTATTAAATAGGGGCTTTGGGGTAATTGTGTGAGCAATGGAAATATTAACTTACTTAACTGCCTGATCTTTTGTTCCACTGAGAGTATTTGAAATATCTTGCCTTTCTAAATAAAGTGAGCTTTATTTATGTATTTGTGAGGTCTCTCTTTATTCATCTGTCTCACTCCTAACATCCTAAACATGGCCAGGCATAAAGGAGTTGAAAAATATGTTCTCAGTCAGGGCTCACAATCCAGTAGCTTGTGAGGCAGACTTGTTTTAAATGGCCATTATCAAGTTTTTTAAACTGAATTTGAATGTCTTTGGGCAAAACATTCATTCTCCAGCTCACCATAGATCCTATTGCTCCTTACCTTTGAAAACCACTTCACCATTTGTTTTCTCTTTCTGGCCAGTATTGGCATTTTAATCTGTGTCCCATTACATTAAATAAAAGGAAAAATCATTGTGAATTACTCTTATCTATATGCTATGATTTGCTAACCTAGAGTACTGAAGCCTCTTTTACCTGTCTGTAATGTTTCACATACTTCAATAAAATTGTATTTTTAAGAAAATGTTCTATTCCCTGGAAACAATACAGAAAGATATGCACACGATTACACAAAGTACATAAAATAAATGGATTTACAGGGAAAAAAATAAGGAAATTCACCAAAATGTAAGGTTATTAATCTCTGGGTTGTCAAATTATAGCTTACTTTTCTTCTTTATTTTTTGCTTTTTAAAGTTTTTTTCAGTGAGCGTGAGTTATATCTACAATCAGGAAAAAAATTCTTTTGAAAAAAGAAATCTTTCACAAATTAAAGTTAACTGTTCTTCCTACTCTTTAAATTTGGGATGAGGAAAAAATAAATAAATATTGAGAGCCACTTGGTCTCAAGCATGGTGCTAGATACTTTACATTCAACCATGAAAACTCTGTGAGGAAGGGTATATTAAAGCCCCCATTTTTGAGATATAAGAAAATTACCTCAGATTTACTTTATAGAAAAATCTTGAAATCTTCAGGATACAAGGATATAGAAATTTGGAGAAAGGGGTGAGGTAGGAAGAAGAGAAGACTTTTAAAGAGAATTAAAAGCAGTGAAAGAAGAGAAAGAAAATAATGGGAGATAAGTGCATAGGAAATGATAATTTATTCATGCATTCATCAAATATTTAGTTTCAACTATTTCAAGGCACTTTGTTGGAGACTGTAGAGTGTACAGAGATGGGCCTGATAGATTAAAAGATAATATACACATGTCAGTCCTTCTACACATATTCCACATAATATCCTCCATTAATGGAACATAATAAAATTGAAATAATACGCTTGCCAACAAATAAAAAAAAAGAAAGGAAATAAAAGTCATCTGTGAGGCACAGAGTAACTGCAAAATGAATTGAGAGGAAGAAGGAATTGCTTCTGGCTAGGGGGATGAAGGGAAGAGGGGAAGGGGTGGATGCTCATATTAGACAAAGGGGTCTATTCTTCTCGAGATCCAGGGTGTACTTAAAGTTATTTACTGGCCATCTCTCCCAAGTGACCTGAAGTTTCCTCAATCTCTGTGTCCCTAACCCAATCTGTCACTCACTACCTCCTTCATCTGTGTCCCTTGTCCCAGTTAATAGATTTATTATCCATTCAGAAGTTCATTTATTTAACAAATGATCACTGAGTGTCTGGTATATGCGGGCACTAGGTCTAGTAAAAGACATAGATATTAAACAAGTAAACACAAAAATATAAAAGTACAGGAACAGTGAAGAAAAATGCGAGAGAGGAAAATGGGAGAGGAGTATTTAGTTTGGGTGTTTTAGAAAGACATCTTTGAAGAAATAACATTTCTGAGAAACTGAAGGATGAAAGGGAACTAGAAAGATTCATGGTTGAAGGGAAGGTTCCCAGCAGAAGGAACAGCCTGGGCAAAAAAACTGAGGGAGGAAAAGATTCAGCAAATTAGAACTGAAAGAAAGTCTCTGTAACTATATCAAGGAAAAGAAGGGGTGAGTGTGGTGGGAAAGGAAGGTGGAGAAGTAACCAGGGCTTTGTAGTTTCTGCTGTAAAGTTTAAATTGTATTCTAAAAAATAAAGTAACAGCAATGAAAACACAGATGCTATCCTTGCCTTCATGGGGCATACAGCCTAGTGAGGAATACAGGCCATTAAGCAACTGATTTCAATCTGTGTCATATATGTTAGAATAGGAGACATATAAAATGCTGTGAAAGCACAAAGGAGGTACACTTAATTCAGTCTGAGAGAGGTATATTCACTCTCCACTGGGACCATTACAACAACTTCTGAATCAGTTATGAGCCTCCAGTGTCTACCTTCCAATCTGCTGTCATCTTAACACAAATGAGAGCATGTCAAAACCATCCATGGCCTCCCAAAGGGTAAATTCCAAACTCTTTGATTTCATGTCACTGCGTGGCCCTAAACTTGATCTTCTTGGTTTAAACTCCTACTACTACCTATCACGATGATTTTCAGATGTTTTTTGACTAAGCCCATTGTATGAAATACATTTTACCAGTACAAACACATATCCACATAAAACACTAAGACGAATGTTTCAAAAGACAATTCAAGCAGGATTACTCTGATACTTCTTATTCTATTTTCTTAAAATGCTAGTTGTGAATTAGTCATGATCAACTAAAAGGTCCTGAACTGCGGTTTGAAAAACATTGACTGCTCCCTCCACTACTACCTTTTCTACCCAGCTCTCAATAAACTTTCTTTCACCTTTCACCAAAGCAGTCCTGATGTCATTGTTCATTTACCTCGCGATTTCCTACTCATCTTTCAAGACTCAGCTCAAATGTTACTTCTTCAGAGAACCTTTCCAAATATTGCTCCAGTCACCATATTTCCATTCTTATAGGCTCTAGGGAGTAGCACACCAGGAGTGACAGCACTTGTCATGCAGGATGCATTATAATGATTTTATTTTTTAAACATGTTAGTCTACTCTAACCTAGGTTTCTGGAAGTCAGCTGTTTTATCTCAGGCCCTAAATAGCGTCTAATCTGAAACAAAGGTCAAGGGATGTTTATGCAAATAAATGAAAACTGATCTCATCATGTACTACCCTTCCCCGTCTTGGCTGTGCACCAGCCTTCTATCCCTCAAATGCGCCAAAGTTTTTCCTCCCTCAAAGCCTTACTGCGCTACCCTTCCCCCAGCCGTTTCCATGGCGGGCTGCTCCTACTTTATTTTCAGTAGTCTATCCTCAGAGAGGCAGCCTGCTCAATCTCTCATCGCATTTCTTTTGTCTTTATGACATTCTTCAGTCTCTGAAATTATCTAGTTTTCTGTTTGTTTACTTATCTGTCTGCCGCCCGTTAGCTCTCTGAGGGACATGGTCTGCCGAGTTCCCTCAGTAACTTCAGCACCTAGAACAGTGCATAGCGCATAGTAGGCGCTCAACACAACTGTTGACGAATGACTGAGTAGAAGAGGAGGCACAGAAGTGTTAGGGACCTGTACTGAAGCCGCCTTAAGGGCACCCAGGCCCATACCCGTGACTGGGAGAGAGGGAAGGAGCTGAGGCGCCCAAGTGCCACAGTTTAGGGCCTACCAGTAATAAGTGACTGTGCAGGCCGTGCACACCCGCTCGGCCGAAGCTTCGCACACCTCACAGCAGAGCCGGCGCCCCTTGGGCACCGCCAGTGGGTAGATCACGTTCATGTTGTAGCCAGCTGTGTAGGTCTCCAGAACGGTTGCCCGGAGAGGATACGCTGGACGCCAGTGTCACATGACCACCATGGGGCAGCCGCGTTCCCAGAATTTCAAGGGCATGGGGGAGGGCGTTGCTTGACTAACACTTGCAGGGTGTTTGTGGGATTAAAAACAACACCCCTCCCCCCGCCTCCCAGCAAGTCTCAAAGATTAAATGGCTGGGCAAACTAACTCCAGGGGAGTCCAAGTGCAGGAAGGACTATACGGTAGCCGGTAAGAGCCAAACATGGCCACTTCTCTATCCAGGCTAGGAAACTAACATGAGGGGATATGACCCTTCCAGAAGTCAGCCCAGCCGACTCGCATCTGCTCACGGTCAATTTCGCCAGGCAGTTGTGCAGAACCAGGTCGCATTTCTACACGTGGAGAAACCTGGGACTGGCGCCCAGCCGGGGCAGCGAACCGCGCCCTCATATTGAGGCGGCGCGTAGGCTAGGTGGGGCAGGGGGTGTGGCGCCGGCGGCATCGGAGCGTGCGCAGGCGCGGAGGAGCCCCAAGACTCATGGCGGAGATGGACCTGGTCGCCGAGTTTCCCCAGCCCTCCGGTGTTGCACGCTGGGCCGAGGTTATGGCTCGCTTTGCCGCGGGGCTGGGTGCGCAGGGCAGAAGAGTGGTGTTGGTCACGTCCGGCGGCACCAAAGTCCCACTGGAAGCCCGGCCAGTGCGCTTCCTGGACAACTTCAGCAGCGGGCGACGCGGTGCATCCTCGGCGGAGGCCTTCCTGGCTGCGGGCTACGGGGTCCTGTTCTTGTACCGCGCTCGCTCCGCCTTTCCTTTTGCCCACCGCTTCCCTCCCCAGACCTGGCTGTCAGCTTTGCGGCCCTCAGGGCCATCTCCTTCGGGCTTACTGAGCCTGGAGGCTGAGGAGAATGCGCTTCCGGGCTTCGCTGTGGCTCTGCGGAGCTACCAGGAGGCTGCGGCAGCCGGCACCTTCCTGGCCGTGGAGTTCACCACTTTGGCGGACTATTTGCATCTTTTGCAGGCTGCTGCCCAGGCGCTCAATCCGCTAGGTGCGTGCCCTAGGAGTCCATCGCGTGTGCTGAGGCAGAGCCTCTCTCTCCAGACACTTACCTCTTAAAGTCTTATTACCCAGGGGAACCTGAGTTGTAAAGGAGCTGATCTCATACCCATCTACGATTTATTACACCCTGTGCTTCTCTTTGCAGGCTCTTCTGCGATGTTTTACTTGGCTGCGGCCGTGTCAGATTTTTATATTCCTGTCTCTGAAATGCCTGAACACAAGATCCTGTCATCTGGGGGCGCACTGCAGGTGATGGGCACTTCTCTTCCAGAGATCTGATCCCCTATAACCAATCCTGGGTTAATTCCCTCTTGATCTGGAGATGGTCTTTCTGCATTTCATATGTGCTAGGCACTTGGGATACCGAGATGAATTAAGACACCGCCCTCCCTGAAGGACTTCACAATCTATTGAGGGAGCTGGACACAGACATGATTACAATACAGAGTGATAAATGTTCTAGTAGAGGTACATACAAAGAAGTCAGAGCATGGGGTGAGTGAATATTGGGGAAATCAAGGAAGGCTTTCTCAAGATGACTCGAAACTGAGTTTCAAAGGCTGAGCAGAGGGTATACCAGACAAAGTGGGAAGGTCATACCAGATGGAGTACACAATTGGAGTTTGGAATTAGGCGATGACTATAAACTGAAGTTGTTTGGTAAGGCTGGAGAGCAGGTAGAGTGGTGTGTGTGGAGAGCAGACTGAAGAAACAGCTTACTTCATAGAAGACTTTCTGTTTTTCCTTACGGAGCTTGGACTTTATCCAGTGAAGTCAAAGGAGAATATATATAGGAGAATGAGTTAACAGTTGTTTTTGTTTGAGAACATTCTGGCATCAGTGTGAAAGGTGAATTAGAGGTGCAAGGGTTGATTACATGGGGGTTATTGCTGTAGTTTAAGGAAGAGGTATGGGGAGAGGGTAGTGGTGTGGTTGACATGTTGAGATGATCTGGCTTCTTGGAACCTGAGAAAGTTCTTAGTCATTTATTAAATGATACAAATAGAATTTAAATAGGAGAAACTCTACCTGTGGAGCACTTGCTGACTTTGTAGGGATGGCTCATTTGTTCATTTCTTCAATAAATATTTATTTATTGAGTACCGACTATATGCCAAGCACTATTGTAGGACCTGGAGATAAAATATACTATGCCTTGTGTTGCTTGTACTCTACAGAGGAGACAATAAGTCAAATGCATCCTATGTTAGGTGGTGATAAATGCTAAGGAGAAAAGTGGGAAATAGATATATGATCCCTATCACAATTTCTAATTTTTTGAGGGGAAATCCTGACGATTAGCTGATGATAAGTGATTTCACACTATTTAAATTCTGGGAGCATTAGTTTATCCTATTTTTTTTTAGTTCTATCTTGAAAGTACACAAAACAACTTAATATTCCCTTTATGAGAGATTGAGAATAATATTGTAGGAGTTTACGTAAAAATAAAATCAGTTCTATTTCCTCACTGCTGTGTTACAAGTGACAATATTTAAATGGAATCAAATAGTCATTCTACCAATGCAAGAAATAGCTAGGCTGAGACATTTAAGACCCAACTTTCTTTGAGCTTTTGCCAAAGTAACTTTTGCATGAATAGATTACTTGCATTTATTTATTTGAGGGTTTGGTTTAAAAAATAAAGGGGCATGTTTAACAAAGTGTAATGCTGTTCTTTAGAGTTCTGTTAATGGTGATGAAGGTGGCAGACCAGGGCTGATTCATAAATACATGGTTTGTCCCAAAATACGTATGAAGCCTTGAAACCAGGCATCCTTATGAACCCTACAGAGCCAAGGTTTTTAAGCTAAGCATTTAACGTGCTTTGAAAAGTTTGACAATGAGAAATGCCACTTAAATTGATGTAGCCAAAAATCTGAATCCCTGCTTCCTTAGTTTCCTGTGAGATTGACCTTTGTTTGCTTATTAAGCTTTTCTTTTTCCAATACAGATAACAATGAAGATGGTGCCAAAAATGCTTTCTCCTTTGGTTAAAGACTGGGCTCCCAAAGCATTTGTAATATCTTTTAAGTTGGAGACTGACCCCTCCATTGTAATTGATCGTGCACGGAATGCTTTGGAAGTTTATCGACATCAAGTGGTGGTGGCTAATATCCTTGAGTCACGAAGGTCCTTTGTGGTTATCATAACCAAAGACTCAGAAACTAAGTTATTGCTATCAGAGAAAGAAATAGAAAAAGGCGTAGAGATAGAACAGAAGATAGTGGTTGATCTTCAGTCTCGACACACAGCTTTTATACAAGACCAAAACTGAAAGATCAAAAAAATATAGGATCAGGGCTCTTACAGATAGTGAGAACTAGAATAAATCCTTTGCTTTTTCATAAAGATAGAGAAAATGAAGGGAAAAAGCAGTGAGTGTAGGCAAATATGGTTTGATATTTGTCTTTTAAAAGGTCATTTCATACTCATTAAAAATGGAAACAAAAGCAAAGCAGTTATGACACACTTGCCCGAATGTCATCTTGATTTTGAAAATGAACACGAGCTGTTTCTCATCTTTAAAAAGAGTATTGGGAGTTATGTTCTTCGATATATACATGTGGGGCATGAATATCAACCTTCACACTACTAAATGGATTATGGATGCAAGAATGGCCATGCTTTGAAGATCAAATGTTTGTTGATGCCTATTATGTGGTCAGCTCTGATGATTATGAGGATTAAAAAGATGAATAAACATGTCTAGTTTGGGAAATGGATATATAAAAAATTAAGTGCAATAAAGTCTGTGCCCAAAAGCTAAACAATTGAAAGGATGTTGTTTTTTGAGAATTTATCAAAGATGGGAGTAGGAGAGAAGGACATCTCCCTGAAGATAGTCTATAGAATGATGAGCTTCCCACTACATTTACTTTGGCTTTCTTGTCCTAAATTCACTCAATGTTTGAGTTAACAATTTACCTTTCAAATATTTTATGACCTCTCTTCAGGGAAACTTAACCCCAGCTTCCACCAGGGGCCAGGCAGGGGCCAATTGATGATTTCTACACTGAAGGAAGCATTACAGTATGGTAAAGAGGATGGGCTTTGGAGTCACCTAGCCAGGTTTGACCTCTCCTGCTATACTAACTAGTCTATAAACTTACATACCTGACTTAATTTGTTTCCTCATCTATAAAATGGGGATAGTAAATTTCTGCAAAATAATGGTATTTGTTGTGAGGATTAAATAAAACAGAAAATAAAGCATTAGTCTGGCGCCTGGCACATAATTCAGAATAAATGGTTGCAATTATTGTTTTCCTCACTTAGCAAGAAAAGGGCAGTGTTATGCTGGTGCCCTGCTTGATCCCTGAGTCCTTGAAAAGTTTTTGATGCTCACTATGTCCTGGACTTGGCTTGGGAGTACATAAGAAGTGTAGTCCAGGAAAATCCCCTAAACCAGAGGTCCCCACAGCAGAACGAGTGTGGCAGGCTAGTGAGGAAGCAAAGCTTCCTTTGTATTTGCTGCTGCTCCCCAGTGCTAGCATCACTGCCTCAGCTCCACCTCAGATCGTCAGATATTAGATTCTCAAAGGATTACCGGTCCCTGGTGCCAAAAAGGTTGGGGACCGCTGTCCTAAATGATGTGTAGGATGGTCCAAAGTGCAACTTCAAAAACTACCATTAATAACTAGGTAGAAGCAAGCACCATGTTTCATATAAATACTTTATTTAAAATACAATTGATGTTTCATGGAGTGAGTTGGGAAGGTTAGCCCAATGTGTCTGACAAGAGAAGTACAATAAATTTTAGTTGAAAAGATTTGACCAGAAATGCCAAGATGGACTGAAATAATTCATTAAATCGGGACATGTGACCTTTAGCAGAGGAAAAATAACTAGTAATCAGGTATGTTCTGGAAGCAGCAGTCCCATTGGACAAATTTTTTTAGTTAACTTCAGGTCCTATTGGCAAACCTCAAAAACGATAGGCTCTGTCAGCAGTAGCTGCAGTACTGGGGATAGGAAGTAAAAGATTGATTTTCTAACCTACATCTATAGCTCTATGTGGATGATGACTGTCACCTTTGAATGCATAATGATAAAGTTAAAACCAGAAGTGATCTTAATATTTGTTTTTACCATCATTATTACTTCCCTTGGGAACCATTTCATATTCTGTTTTATTATGCTTAAAATAACTACCACTTCCCTACATGGAATTTTGTTGTGCAATTCTGTTTAGTTTCCATTCCGAGCACTTAAGCAATATTTACACGTGTTAAAATTCGAAGAGATTTTGTTGTTGTTGTTGTTGTTTAAACAGTAAATGGAAGGTGCAAAGGAAAATAATGAAAAAGAACATGAGTCACTGAGCAAATAAGAAGGGACTTGATCTAGACTGGAAAACCAAAGAATGTTTCTTGAGGAATGACGCTTTAGTTAAGTGGGCTTCAGGTGATGGTTGTAAGCATTTTAGATCAGAGGAAAAACATTTGGAAGGGCTCTTGTGCCAGAGGGAGAGGTTGAAACACGTCTAGAAAGTAAGATCGGTCCAGATAGTGCATAGAACAGGCAGAATTTTGGAAAGGATTCTATGTGGAAATAGAGTAAGACTTAGAAATAGAAGTACATGTTTTGGATACCAGAAAAACAAGGGCCCCCTAGACATGAGTAAAGTCGAACCTTGATGAACTAACTAGAACCGTGCAATGCGAAAATTTAAGATGACATAAACTGAGCCTATGTTAAATCTTGTCATTTAGAAATTTTTATTTTGCATTACATAGGTGGAGGAATGGGTCACCTAAACGAATTTTCGGTGCTGAGGACTCTAGTCTTAGGGATAATTCTTCATTTTTACAATAATAAGTCGTGCCCAAAAACGTGATTTGTCTTAGGTGCCCCAAGTAGGTAGTTACAAATCTAGGCCTAAAATTCCTAACTACTGACCTAGCACCACCATCCCTTTTGAGAATGAAGTTACTTCTAGAAAAAGAAACCCACGGTTATTATGACGGGTGTCTACATAAGGCCTGGCCGGTAGCTATTTGAGAACTATAAATGCCCGGTATCAAAACGGTCTTCAGAGTTGCAAACACAAGCCTTGACGTTACCATGGTTACTGCAAAGCGGCTTGAACTATACCCTCGTTCCTGCCCGAAGTGCCCCGCCCCATGACCCCAAGGCCAATGGTGTGCACCGTAACAATGGTCTTCACAGGAAGAACAGCCCCTGAGCCAATGGGGCGCGTCGTTTCTACGGTTCCCGCCGGAAGGACGCCTTGGCGTTTCCGCGGCCAGCGCGGTTGCTATGACGCCCGACGCTCGGCAGGCACCTGCAGGTCGAAGCAGAGGGGTGGTGGAACCGAGCGACCAGGGACCGTCACGCACTCTCCAAAAGACAATTACCGGCCAACTTCCTGAGGTTCTCGCCTCAGTCCCGAGGAGGAAAGCACCTATTCTCCGCTCTTTTTCAGCATTCCAGGTTTTTCCCGCTTCTCTCCCCGGTACCGCCCGAAACCAAGAGGCAACCCTCTCCCCTGGCTCGGCCTTTCTAGTCACGGGCTGGAGTGAATCTGCACGAAGAAGGATTTGCGCCGTTCTGGGATCGAAAAGCCACAGGCATTTAGAATTAGGCTGCTGCTCTTATTTAGAGAACACCCCCCAATCAGTTAGATAGGCGCTCCTTTTCTTACTTTCCAGGTTTAAGACTCACCCTGCACTGATGACTGGCTGCATCTGAAGCTCCAGGCCATTACAAAGTCTACGGAACCACGGCTTCCCGGGATGTAGGCCCGTGAACAAAGAACTGCGGTTTTCTGCTTTGTTGCCCTGTGTTCGTCATGGGGAACCTTAATTCCCGATGAAGCTCTGGAGGCCCTTTGTATCCTCAACATCAGACGTCATCAAGTCAGTTGCCTTCCCCCTTTCAAGCTACAACCTCACCCACTTCTCTCATCACCCTGAGTGCCAGTTTTCTCATCCTGCTCGTTCCACAGCCATTTTCACCCTTTGTTTACCACGCTGCACGCTGCACATTACTGAATGTCCATTCGTCTCCACCACCTCTGTCATCTCCTGACCACCTCCTTCTCCTTTCTTGCTACAATGCTTTGGGTAGCTAACTATTTCACGTTCTTCAGCCTTGGAACCATTTGGAAAATTTTCTCTGTTTCTCTGCATTATGACAAGCTTTTTGTCTTGGGTAAACTAGAGACCAGAACGGAGAAGCGCACATTGGTAAATACAAACAGTAAATTATTACAAGCCTAGTGTGTCTTGAAAATGGAGGGAAAAAATCAAAATGCGTTTTTGGACCCACCTCAGGCTCATATAAAGAAAGATTGTTCCTTAAGTGAATGCTTTGTTAGGCATACATTTTAGGGGTGCATTCATGCATGTGAAAAGATCATTCAGCAAGATCATGTAACAAGATTTCAATTGTAAGCCCTTATGAACCCAACACCTTGATAGGATAGAATTTTTGTAAAGGAGATGCTTGAAATCGTTATTCTTCCTCCTTGTCATGTCAGTTTCTTAATCAAAAAAACATTTTTTTTGTGATGTGAACCAAGAAACAAACAATGAGGAAAGACTGAAAATAAATATTTTTGGCAAGAGAGCAGGCTTACTAGTCCTTAAAAAGACAGGAACAGAAGGCCTTAAAAATAGAATAAGATTCTAATTTTAATTAATAAGTGCAATCATATTTTAGCTTGGAAACTTTATTTAATTTATTCTACAGTTGGTATACCTTATTGAGTCTTACTAATTCTTCAATATTCAGGTTTAAATGTAAACTAAAACAGAAGATATGCAAAGTGTACACTTTTTAACAGGTATTCCAGGGGTTCGAAGGATTTGGATAGTTTAATTTCCCAGGCCAACAGTTATTTGCAGTGTCTCATGCTTGATGCCAGATCAGGTTTCCAAATAACAGAAATTCAACTTTCCCTTCTATAATAGATTGAGGGGAAAAAACAAATTCTGCAGCTTTTTCAGTTTTTTTTCATTAATGGAAACTGAATAAATTCTAACTCTTGGAAAAAAGGCCTGTTAAACGCTGTATTGAAAGGAGCTTTCCTTTTCCCTTCCAATATATGGCCATGTTAACATAATTAAAAGTTTTTTTCTCTCTCTCAGCACAGTAGTTCCAAACCTGGGGGGCGATTTTGCCCCCAAGAGACATTTGGCAATGTAACATTGGGAATATGTTACTGGCATCTAGTTGGTAGAGGACAGGGATGCTGCTCTACGTCCTCCTATGCACAGAAGATCCCCCCACAACAAAGAATTAGCCAGCCCAAATGTAAGTAGTGTGGAGGTTGAGAAACCCTGCCCCTAACATATTAACAGTTCATTTTTCTGTTCTGTGTCTATCCTTATGTGTGTACCTTTTTACATAGTGATAATTATGATGTACATTTTGCCTTTTTCCCTTAATTTTGTTTTAATCATTTAAACATTTCTACATTGTTTTTAACTTTTTAGAAAAGTACTTTTCTCATTTTATCTGGGAATTGAAAAGGAAGAACTGTGTATAATATGTATTATATTTAAGATGTCTGTAAATTAAATTTTTTTTTTTGTCTATGTAAACAGAAAAGAAAGAAGGAAGAAAGAGAAGAAAGAAAGAAGGTTTGGGGTGAAAACCTGACCAGATATTTCAGTTTTTGTTGCTG